AACAAATTGTAATTAAGACTGTTCAATGATATGACATAAGTCTTCAGAAAATCTTTGTGTTATAGTTAATAATTCTCATAGAAATAACGATCAAAAATGAGTCATACATATCAAAACATCAGTAACAGTTCAGTGTTGTTTAAGAAAATAAGGATTACTAGAAATATCAATCTTTTCATCGCATTTTATCTGAAAAAACGAAGCAACCCTACCATATATTTTGAAAAAAAGAATTATTTCATTTTATGGTATGTTTCGGGTAGCCAAAATATATGCTCTCAAGTAACATCTTTGCAACCAAAACATATTAAATCTTCTATATTCTTTGTTACATAAAACAGAAGGTAATTTGATTCATTTAGCGCTTTTAAAATAGGTGCACATTGTTCTTTTCGTGAAATATTGCAGGATAGTTCAACTTCACAACAATACAAAGATTATATGGAGATTTACTATGGAATATGCTTTCCATGACAGAACCCATCTATCTCTAAGAAAAATGTGACTAAAACAATAGAATGTGAAATTATAATCAGGCGTGCTATGGTTAGTGCCTGTAAATAAATAATGAGATGCTAAATCTTGGTTTAGTCGATATAAAAGATGCAATTTTTCACTGTCTTTTTAAGCACCATATTTTTCAAAATGGATGTGCAAATTTACATCAAATCATACAGCTTTAAAACAGCTTGAGATACAGCACCATATTTTCATAACCTGACTCAAAATGAGTCTAACATTAACAATGAAGATCATATGTTTTAAAACATTTTTCAAGCACTTTTTAACCATGGAACATGCAATGATTTACTCATAATATGATTTTTATCCATCGCAATTCACAAAATGCTGCATTTCAGTATGAGTCCAAGAATCTATTTCATACCAGTAAAAGAAATTGTTACAACTGCAAAAAAAATGAATTCTTACTCATCATTTATTTCTTATGCAAACAAAATTGAACAAATAATAGTTAATGAAAGACAAATTATAGTGAGTAAAATGAGACGCCTCATATAATAAAACCTGTCTTAATTAAGGTTGAACGAGAAAATTAATGAGTGAGCCATACTTCCAGCACGAGGCTCAAATGTTACAATTTTATGTTCTCATACATCGCACATATCAGATAACAAATAAAATGTTTTTTTTCAATATTTTTATGAATACCGAGAACAAATATTGAATTTTCAATGATGGATGATTACAAGGGAGGAGTATTATGTATGAGTGATATTTAACATGAACACATTTATTGTTTTTGAAATAAAACAAAATAAATATTGACTTGAAATGAGATTGAAACTGAAATAGAGCAAAGGTAGCTAGAATTGTAAAATTTTAACTGAAGATTCTTTTTTGCCGATTTTAACCTTTTTCGTAACAGATGTGAAAACAAACTAATCTTCCCCGGCCTTTCATTGATTTTGATGAACTAATAACGGGGAACTTTCAATTCTATTTATCAATTAATGTTTACTCATTTTCATTAACAGTCATATAGAATTTTGATTTTATCATAAAAATCTTAAATGGTCCTAATTTGGGTAAATGTCTAATGGAACAGTAAAACTGATATCATTGTTTTCTATTGTCAATATACTGACCATATCAATGAAATATGTAATTGAATCTCGACCATCTAAAACTGTTGGATCTAGATTGGAAAAATAATAGTCTCAAATATGACAGATACATGTAAAATATTTCAAAATCTCCAAACTGATTTTCAAGCTTCTGATATTGTTGGTTGGACGTTCATTGACAATGATCTTAAATTACAGACAGAAATCTGTCAACTTTCAAATGAACAAATAAATCCGAAGAATATAAAATGTTATTAAAATATGAATTCTATTGGAGGTAATTTTATAGGGATCCTATGTATAATTAGTTCAATGTCAAAGAGTGGGTAGATCTACTGATGATAAAGAGCTCATGGCCCACTCTGTAGTTGACTACCAGTATAATTACAGGGTGGGGGATACAACACAAACAGAATCTGTCATGTCATGTTCTTTCAATCTTTGTAATTCACAAGTTTGAGGCTAAAATGGGCTTTCCAGATGTCAAAATGGTATTTAGTGACATCTTAAAATACAATGCATTCTACATGTGGTTCATTTTACACCTGGCATGTCTCTGATCCATTTTCATAGACCCCTGGCCCATTCAGCTTCAGAGGCTCAAAGGTTCCAAAATTTCAACACACAGATTTTAAAAGTTTACCGATAACTTCTGAAAATTTTATAAACTTTGCCAAAACTTCTCAATTTTGGATAAACTTTTCCAACTTGGACTGAAAATAAATTTTATTTTTCAAGGAAAGGAAGATCATTTTTTCAGGTACTTAGGTACTGACACATTATAATACACACGATGAATATTCATCTCAGAACCTGTGTAACTTCATCCTTTAATAAAAAGGGGGTAAGGGGGAGGGGGTGGCTGACACTTAATCCGGAAACTGACAACTACAAGGATGTCTTATATCCTCATCCTGGTTGACTGCGAACATTCTCAACATGACTGTAAAACACAAGTCTCGGCATCTGCAATACAAGAAGTAGTTTGTGTTTATCACCGATGACGTTATCGTTATCGTTGATCTTATTGCGAACATACACCACGTGTATACTTAATCTGTCATCACCTGCATAGTTGAACTTATCAAACATCAAGCTTATACATTTCTCTTCAAAAATAAGCTTCATCTCAAAAATCGCTGGACCAGACCAGCATCAATAACAGAAATAATTATTATTTGGGTTATAGTTGCTTTGGCACCAAATCTTTTACCTTTCATAATGACAAAGGGATTAATTCAGTTTGGATTTTGTAAAGGGTTCTCAAAGGATATGATCTTATCTGAGATAAAACATGGAAGAAATTACTGGATAATTACATTTTTGTTTTTCATGCTTCAAATGTGCAAGAATAAGAAAGATAGAGTCAAATAACAGAACTCTAGACTTACTAAGATCGTAAAGATAAGTAGTTTACGAAATTGATTCCTTATGGAGAGCTAACCAGATTTAAATGCTTCCAACTTTCTTGGGTAGTCTGCTGAGATCTGTTAACAGATTTTTATCATCCGATATCACAATATCCTCTGCTTTCCGAAAATTATCTGGGATTGGAATGGAGTTTTCTTTAACTAAAATAACATTTTCATGAATACTATAATTACCAAGTTGCTAATAAATAGTTACCAGTTTCACCGCTAGGTGGCTAACTTGATTCAGATTCCCATAAACTTGAACAATAAATTCAGATTTGTAGCTACAGAGTGGCCCAGGATGTAAAACTGATGAAAACTGCTTATGTAGACTTGTTAGTTAGTAGATGATTTCATGGAATAAAATCTGTCATATGGCTAATTGGGATAAATAGAGCCATTACCTCTATGGCAATTTCTTCAATTTAAATAGGACTGACTTGGGACGTTTTTCATTTCACTTCATGTTGGGGTACCCCACAGAGCTATTAGTTTGCTCAATGCCTTCCCTACTGGGGCATCATACGCTGTTTAAAAATTCTATAGTATAAACTTGGAATTGTGTGAAATATGGGGGGCTATATCTATGAAATTCAGTTGTCTACTTGCGGATGCTAAGCACTTAATACAACTGCCAAAAACTGTCAAATAACTTTCAAAGGGAACGTTGGTTGAATGAGTAAAGTTCCATAATTTACAGGTTATATTACTAAATTGTTCATTTTGGTCACATCTTAGGTTACTTTATTCAGGAATCGCCTTTTTAAGATGATATTATCAGATTATCTTTAAGATTTGAATCAATAATGAAAAACTTATCTCTTTAAAATCATAAAAAATTCTTCCAAAATGATAAATCTAATCTCTAAAAGTCAGGTACTGAAAATACAATTTAATAAATAGACTCTTTATTTTAATAGATAAAACCAATATCAATTTGCTTTTGATATCCTAAAGTTAATAATTTTAGTCAATTTTCTCAAAATTGGTGTTGACAAAAAGTAATCCAACACTTAACTTGATTTTAATCAAAACAAGGGATTCATTTTTATTGATAAATTTACCAACATGTGGTAGTCTTCAAAAATATTTACATTATACATTTTTTTTAACTTGTATCTAAACATACAATCATAAATGCACCTTCAAGATATGCCATACATAATAATGCATACAAAACTACAGGGTAACCCAAGTGTAACTAAAGTTGCAAGAGATTTCATTATTTTCAAAATCTATGATTTTCGACTAAATGAGAATTCAAAATACATGTATATGAAGGTACAGTATTCTTCATTATTTTGAACTTTTTTGTTAAAATTGTTATGACAGATTTGTTGCGAAATTGATCCAGAACATCAGGAAATTTAATTACATTCTACTAGAAGCTACTGGCTTACTACCTATGTATATACAGTTTAATGCCTTATGGCAAGATTTCCTTTTAATATAATAAAATATAGATACATAAAATGTACATCTCTTTGGTCTGGAAAATATAACCAAGCAAAAAATTGAAGCGATATTTAATACTACTCCAAGCAAAATAAATGAAATACACAAAAGATAAGCACAGCCTAAACAAGTTAAAGCTCCATTATAATTGAACCCACAAGCTAAAGGAAGTTTAAGGTGTAAACTACTCATTTCAAGAAGCAGGAGAATATGAACCCATTCCCTTCTTATTCCGAAGAACCTATTCCCTTTTTATAGTAAAATTTTGAATTTTGCCATAATTCTCATCGAATTACCACAGTAACGACAACACTACAGGTTATTGAGATCATAAAAATTTGAAATAAAAAAAGTCAAAACACATTTTAGATAAACATTTTCAAGCTGATAGAAGGAAGAACTCAAAATAGTCATTCAAAAGAGATGATACAATCTCCTCAAAATATACCATATACGTAATTAGAGCTTGTGGGCTGAGTACATGTATATTATAAAGCAAACAGAGACATACAGAATAATATAAACAAGTAAACACAAAACAGATCTAATCAAAATCTAACACTAGATTGTACATGAAATTACTAAAATACACAGGTACCAAGCAGATCTCATCATATTGCCAGCCTTTTAGACTCTGTGCTGAACTGATCATACTGCAGAATTCATGGGTACCCAGAGCCCATTGGCTAAAGATTCCGTAACTACCAAGAAAAATCATGGTATCATGAGGTCTGCTTTATACCCATGAAAATATATATGGCGTACTTTTCTTTTTAGTTTTGCACTAGATTAGTAACAAATATAATGATGATGTACATATTATTCTTAAAGTACTGGACTGACTGAGTATTCAACAAACCATGCATACAATACAGGGTGTCCCAAAATTACCAGGACTGGTGCTGCCATTTCATTCATACCCTTGGGACACCATGTATAATTCTCTATTCTAACTGATCAGTATCTAAACCTCTGTAAATATTTTTTCAGAAAATATATTACAGTTCTTTAATATAATCTGACAGAGCTAGTTATTTAAATATTTCTTCAGAATTAATACTACACAATACTAGGGCAGTTAATCATTAAATATATTTTGTCAGACTAAACACTATAAACATACACAGTTAGCTATTTTCATATTTCTTTCCATAAATACTACAATACTACACAGGGCTCACACGTTTATATGTTGTACAAAATTAAACCAAACATAAGTAATTCCATGAAAAAATGCATGAAAAATGCATGAAAAAGCATGAAACATCACTGGGTATTGTACAGCCTGGTTATGGTTATATTACACACACTTACTAGTTACATACACAAAACAAGATGCTTATAACAAAACATAATAATGTTGCTTAAACATGGTTTATCAGACATCACAAAACAGTTAAAGCATAAAAATATATGAAGCATACATTTACAGTATCGTAGGCCTAATAACATCTAGACATGTTATTTGTCAAATATTTGCTATGAATGACATCTAGACATGTTATTTGTCATATATTCAATATGAATGACATCACCAATTCTCAAATTACTTGCACCTTTCAATTTTGCATCTGATTTTTTTTGCTATTATGGACTTTTGCCCCAACTGAGACTGGGAGGTTATTTTAATAGTACACATGCTGTAGTTAGAATGATACTTGAGACCAATAAGATCACATTTATATTTTAGGTTTTATCCCATTAATTGCACCATTTCCATAATAATATGTTACTTTTCTTGATCTTCAATATGTGACATGTTAATATGACATGTTCTTATTCAATATGACATGTTCTTATTCAATACGACATGTTCTTATCTTTAACAGGCACTGATGTCAATAAATATAGATTCATGACATCATTGTTCACATATAGGCACGTTCTGTCATATCAACACACTGTGTCTCTGGGTAGTATTGTGACATCATCAGATGTCATATCACGTGGCACAATAGTATTATTATGTCATATCACTAGAGTCTTATGACATCACGCTACAGATTCTACAGGGGATTCACACTGCTCTAGAGTTTTTTTCTGGGAATATGTCGCTTTGTGTTTTTTACTTTCGATATGTTGGCCAAACTGAGGTTCTGTTGCCATAGTAACATTGCAGTATGAACAATAATAGTTCCCGCTTGGTGTGCGGTAGTTTGAAAAGTCTCTGTATCTTGGTCGTTTCGTGGGAGGTGGTTCAAAATTACTGAATCCATTTGTTGCTTGACGTATTCCCATTGGGAGACTTGCTACAGCTCCTGAAAATATATGTAAATGCCACATAAGAATGCATATTAAGTATATAAGTTTTTTAAGAATATTTAGGATTTGCTCTATTGGGTATAAAAACACTTTTTATCTGGGATTGAAATTCTTTGTATCAAGAAGATAAAAAATTAAGAAGTGATAAAACAGAATTTTAATGTGTGACACATTTTTCACAAGAATGAATATATATTATATGTATAGGGAAGAAATAATGAAATAGATGTTTTAGTTTTATAACCATTGAACCAGTCTGGGAGAGAATTAAACACTACATGCATTTTTACTTATTCAAGATGTCATTTGTAACATGATGTGAGATTAAGAACATTTAAACATCTATGAGTCAAATAAGTGTACGATTTCAGCTTTGAATATTATGAAAGTATATTAAAAATTCAAATCTTTACTTGGGAGGGAAGGGTAATGGACTTGAAACTGTTTCCAGATTAAAGGCTTAAGGCTTTTGTTGAGTCTAAAACACTAAGTATAGAACACTGTATGTATGAGACATTCTATATTGGATTGCAATGAACAATTTTAGTTTTTAAAAGATTATTGTAAAAGATCAGAAATTCCAAACCACATCCTACTTGAATCAAAGTGTATGTTTACGTAACTTGGACTTATCAAAATCATTCAATTGAACCGAAATTCAGATTTGACTTTAGGAATTTTAGTAATGGATCACCGAAATATGAAGAAATGCGTAATCCAATTGCTATGTTGTTATACATTTACATTGGATAAAATAAAGCGAAATACCAACATATTTAGTGAGAAAACAAAATGAACTTTAACTTGTATTATTTCGACCATTACTACCTAGTAACACCTCAAATATTGTTAATGTTGCTTCTAGCTCTGAAAACAATGAAAGGAAATCAAAGCATAATAGACAAATGAAACCTTAGGGGGGTTTCTTCAGTTACAAACCCAATTCAAATAAATATTAGAGAAGTCAGAACTAAGCAAGGGGACTCAATTCTCAGATGGGAGATTAACAAGAAATATCTAAGACATAAGATTATCCTATAATTCCATGATTTCTGCACCATCAAACACCAACATAAAATGAGGCAAAATCCATCCATTTAGGGGGTAATCACATTTAAAAGGTATGCCCAAATTGGACATATTTATCCAAAAATATTTACCGCTTGTTGCACCAATAAAAGATTAAGAAATTGGGATTGAGAAATACGTCATACTGATAACAATGCATTACAAAATACTTCGACATTTATTTCAAGAAAAAGTCCTAATCTTGTTACAAGTAAGAGCTAAATCGACTTTAAAGAGAAAGTTACAGGACCAGGTGCCTATCTAGGGGCCTGTATAGGTCAGCAGGTGTAGAGGGGGATGCATGCACAGCACCTGCCCAAATGAACAGAGCCATCTATAGTATGGTATAGTATGATAGTAGTATTCTTCATACTCCCATGTAGATGATTTAAAACTGAAGTAAAACCACCAAGTCGAATGAATTCCTTTTCTTAGTATCTTATACCTTCCCCCTTACTAGAATTAATAGTCAAATGTTACCACAGATAAAATATTTACAATTGAGAGATTCACAATGCTCTTTAACAAGGTGACATTTTCTATCTATCGGCTACAATTACATTGCAATACAGAGAATATGCAACAGCCTGATAAAAACGTACAAAAGTAAAAGATGGCAAAGATATCCCAAGATGAGAAATTGTGAATAATTCTGTATTGAAACAATCTCATTTGTATTTTAACCAAGAAGTCGGTCTAGGAGATAGCGTTAGATAAGGACGTTTGATTTAAAAAGGTGCAAAATCGGACTGAAGCAACTCAAAGTTATCAAGATTTGGAATCATGATTGATGAGGGAGTTATTTTCAAAATACATTTCTAAAAAACAAGAGGTCATCTGTTTTGCTTTTCATATCATTTTTCATCATTTTTTGTTAAGTCTTTGAAGTATGCATGTCAAAGTGTCTTTACTTTTACAATATCAGACTGTATATGATTTCTACATAGACATGTTCATCAAAATCATCTTTCAATGAGTAAACAATTGCAATATAAAACTGATACATAAAATTATATTTTCTCAGCTTGTGTTTGTTTTTACTTTCATTTTTATATTGTGATCTTTGTATGCACATCCATCAATGTATTTCAATAGAGTACTAAAGGAGTATAGTACATGTACAATAAAACCTGTCTAATTTAAACACCTCTGGGACTGGCCAAAAGTGTTCAGATTAGTAGGTGTTCACATTTCAAAGTTTTATGAACGCGTAAGTCAATGAGAGAAAATAAATTTGGGACCAAGAAAATGTGTTCACATTGAGAGGTGTTCAATATCCACGTTTTACTTTATAATAGTACATTGTATGTTTAAGTGTATTTGCATGACCTTCCAGTCTTTGCATGGCATTGTTGAAACGCAATGCAATCATGCAGAATCTAAAATTTATGAGATAGATGACTTAAATATATAATCATTATCTACCAGTTCTAATGAGACCTCATAACTTAACAATAAAATATTTGATTTCTAGCTATAGAATGAATGAAACCAATTTGATTTCTCATTTGAGAGTTCAGAAGCTAATACATAATGATTATCGTTGTCAATTCTGCAGTTTGTGGGCCACAAGGGAGTAATTATACAATAATTCTAAAGCAGCATTTAAATGATTGAGCACCACCCCCGGGCAACACCCTCTGATATATCGAACCATTTGCAATAAAATAAAATTAGTTGGATTTATTGCTTAGTGTCCAAACAGGCATCAATTTGTGAAAGGCCAGAAATCTGTCATATCTGAGGTTTTTACATCAAAATCATACCAAGAAAAGTCATCTTAAAAGTTAACTCTTATTCGTTTCTTTGGTAAATTGGTATACTAAGGGATTCTCCACGAAAACACATATGTTTGAAGAGAAACTCCTTGCTGAAGGCTACTGGCAGGTGCATTGAAAACACAGCACTTTTCACAACATTTAAAACTAACATTTTGAAAAAACAACAGCGAAACAAAAACAAATGAGTGAAAAAATTGATTTTCAATTATACCCCCATCCAGACAGGAATTCATTTTCCCACAAATCGTTTCTATATTTCCTGCTAAAATCATGTTGTTGTTATGCCTACTGCTTGTCAACTTCCCCATTGGATTACATGAAACAGAAGGAATTCCGAAAATAATTTATATTATTTTAACCCAGAATTAACCATTAACAATGGTTAACAATCAAAGTGTGACACTGAGGCCGACTGGAGACCCGAACAAGTGAAAATTTATATCTTCACTCTCTGAGCTATTGTACCAGAGTCAATTACGCTCACCCCATGTTTTCATAGCCCTCTATAGCCTGTGAGATCAACCACATTGCTCCCTGGTCGAACAATAACCCGAAGCGAAGGTAAAGTTAATTTCTTAAAAGACATGTAAGTTACAAAAACAGAAGAATGAATTGAAGGTAAATTGCCAGAAGCAAGATAACAAACAGGTAGATATTAATTGATTGTTCAAATTATGACACAGTTGAACCATAATGCACCAAATAAATAAATTTATGACCAGCAATAATATTACCACATTTAATTGTACTTTTTGAGCTTTCATTTTCATTTAATTGTACTTTCCGAACCTAACTTCAATGGTGTTTAAATTTTGGATATCCAGTATTTTCCTTGGCAATTATATGATGATTAACAGATCATATGAGCATAAAGTGCGCGCCCGGGATAAATCGATGATGGAAAATGTGTCATTCTTTCAAGATAACCCTATGAACATCAAACCAATGTACTATGACATAGGAATGAACTAAAGCATAAATGTAAAGGGGCAAAATATGGACACATTTTTCTCACAAAATCTCAAGGATTTAAATAAGCAGCTTTTCTTATATTGTTTGTACTTTCAAATCCTACACCATACACAGTGCATAACAATTAAATTCTAACCATAAACCATGTCTTGTACCAGTAGTGTACCTAGACACCAAATTGCAAACAACATTGTGACCAGGATAAGCATTCCTCAGCAATTAGTTGGATGTTCCCAATCAGCAAAATTGTTATATTTTCTACTCAATCTATCATCACAATGAATAATTTTTGACAGGATTATTCCAGGTCAAGTCGACATGATATTAACAGGTCATGATGACATGACAGTATATAATGGTAGTAGCATGTTCTGTTAATTAAAGAACAGTCAGTGAGTTATTTTGACTTGTAATTTGTGTTTATCAGATATATCTGCTGGCGCTATGTACCAGTTCAGAACCTAGCCTCCATCCTTAAGGAATCTGTTGAAATGTTTTTTAATTAAAATGCAATGAAAAACCCAGAGACGTATAAGTTGGTGATATCATCAAATGATATCCCTGGAGCCATGCAATTCCATAATATTTCGTGTATTTAGTAACTTTGAGTTTTATTTGTAAAATCTAAATATACCAATGATTCAGGGGCATACATCCAAATAACAAAGAAACTGTTTGTCTTTATGTCTAAATGTTCAAGTTTAAATCAATTCAACTAAATGACTATGAGCCAAATGCGCATATGCCACATTTTCTAAAATGGCCAATATTAGATGTTTATTTCCTTCTAATTTCAACTGATTTTTCTATGGTAACACTACAAAAGAGCAAACTTGATAACAAATCATTTTGTTTCGAAATTGTTCATTTCGTTTCATATTTCTAAAGTGACCGGTGGCCTCTTTAATAAAGTTTAAAATTAAGAATTATTGATTGCATTATTGAAAAGAGAAAATGTATAATATTTCAGTTTGAAGATATTGTGTAATTCTGTAACTACCTATTACATGTAATTTAGGACCAACAAACGCCCCACATGACAGAGGCTTTCAATTATTTTTAATTTTGACTTGTACTAATAATCTCAACTTTGAAAAGTAGGAAATATTTGACTTAGACAGGTTTTGAACTGATTCAGTCTTTTCAGTTAGAAATGAATACACTCAGGGGAAATA